TCTAATAATCTCCCTCACCTTCCCTGCCTGCCTCTAATGAAAGAGAATAGGTGATTGCACCTCGGGCTATGTTCTGCGCCTAATGACTCCTCCAAAGGCGGATTTATGGAGAAAAAATTAACTTTGAATGAGGATTGAATTGGCCCTGACAGGCTGATAGACTGTGACACAGATTCTGTGGCAAAACAGACGTAGCCCTAATTGATTATCAATATTTTAAGCAAAGTGATGAAAATAAGCATTAAGTGATGAGAAAGGCAGTCTTAATACAGTAGGCAGTCACCGGGATCCGGGAAGTCTTCGGGGAGCTCGGGATTTTTGCTGTCAGTTCTTCCCTTTCCTGCCCCACAGCCCCTGTCCCTCCCCAGCCCCTTCCTCTCCTGCATTTGTTGATATTCCAGCCAGGAATGAGCATGCCTTCCTCTCTCCAGAGGAGTTGGTTTAGTTTTAACCCCTCTGGACTCGGGGCTGCGTTGGGGTTTTGGATGTTCTCTCCTTCCTGCTGGGCTCTCTCCTTGCCCTGTGATGTTTCTAACCAGCAGGTGAGCCACAAACTGCTTCCTGAAAATGATAACAATGACAAAAACCAGGAGAAAATTGCCTGGTTGGTGGGAAAGGGTTTATCTTGGTGATTTTCTTGGTTGTACCCAGTATAAAAACAAATATCTTGGTTACACCAGGTAACTCCAAATACCTCAATTATCATTTGGAGTAAGACAACATTTGGGTTTTGCCTGTGTTTTTTCAGTTGGGTTGCACATGACTGGATTTATCTTCTACCAAAAAATCCTTTGGATATTTGGGAAAACCCTCGTGGCTGTGAGCCAGCTGCTGGTTAGCTTGTGCTGTAACAGGACATTTATCCCAGAATAAGGAATGTTTTCCAAAATGAATGAGGGAAGGGAACTGAGCAGGAGTGCTGCATTCCTACACCAGGAGGAATCAGTGGGGTAACATCTTCCTTCCAAACACTGGGCGTGTTCCCCTGGGAATTTGGAGAAGCTTAAAATACCCAGATTTGGGCTTCTGGGGGTTTTTTTGACTGGCAGAGCAGGGGAGGGGGCAGTGAGCTCCTCCCTCACCCTCCTGCTCAGGGCTCCAATATCCATAATTAGAGTCTGGTGTAATTAAATGACAGGGCAGCAAGGGCAGAAGTTCCCACGTGTGGGAATTGGGTGTTTCAGGGGTAATTAGGGAGGACAGGGAGCTCCTGTGGCACTGAGAGATCCATGGACACGATGGACTGGGCAAGTGACCACCCAAAACATGGATTTATGGAATCACAGAACCCCGTGGATTTATGGGATCATGGATTAATAGAATCATACACTCATTTAGGCTGGAAAAGCCCTCTGAAACCTCCAAGAATGTTGGTGATGTTTAAATTTTGGGTGAAATGTTACTAAAGGCAAAAATACAGAAAACCAGCTTAAATCTGGAGTGATAAGAATGTGTGTGCTGGTGTCACTTTGCCTCTGGAACTCAGAATTAATTCCTGGGTGCTGCTCCTGGTGTTCCTGTCAGAGGAATTCTTGGAGCAAGTGGCTGTTTGGAGTTTGTGCTGGAATTTGTCCGGTGGATAACAGATAATTTTACACGTCAGCCTATGAATATTCAGCAGAGAGGATTTCCACAAGCCTTGATAAATTTAATATACCAGAGAAAAATAGCATGTAAATTAAACAGGGCCTTGTAAATTAATAATGGATTCCACTTGTATTTTTATATGTGAGCTGACTGAATATTTTATAAGTGCAAAAATGTTTGTGTTTAAAAAAAAAAAAAAGGTGAAGTCTTCTGATGAGCACTGTGGATGGTTGGCTGCATTTTAAATGAGATGTCCATGTGTTTTTACAGTTTCTTGGCTTTCTTTTCCTCAGACACATCTTGTATTTTCAACTTGGAGCGGTTGGAAAGTCCACAATTAAGCTGAATTAATTTATTTTTCCAGACCTCATGTGGTTTGCAGTTGTGGGTGTTCTGACACTCCTCTCTTTTAAATTTTGACAGGAAAATGAAATCTCCTTAGTGAAGGGCTGAGTCTTTTCCATGCACATTCCCTGCTCCTCCATGCACTGGGAGAGGGCTCTGCTGCAGGGGCTCCTCCATCAGCCTGGGCCACACTTTCCAAAATTCCCTTTCCATCCCCAAATGTCCCCTGCCCTGTTTCTACCATGGAATAATTCACAGTTTTCTTGGCTTCTCTTAATTAGCAGCTTTGCTTGGAATAATTTCACCCTGGCACAGTGTGAGACTGGTCAGGATTAAAGCATCAGCCATCCATCAGGGAGTGACTGCTTCCCAAACCCTGAGCACTTCCCAGGGGTTCCATGGAATCCTGGGGTTGTTTAGGTGGGGAAAAGCCCTCCCAGACCATCAAATCCAACCCTCAAGTTGTAAAGATCTTTTAATGTTGTTTAACTGCAGCTTGGTTTGAGAAAAGTGAAGCTCTTTTAGTGCTTTTGATGGCACTTGGGCAATGGACAATGATATATTCACTCAATAATAATAATAATAATAATAATAATAATAACAACATTGATGAGGAGGAAAAGAAGAAGAACAGAAAGGAGGAGGAGAGGAAGGAGAAGAAGAAGAAAAGGAGAAGGATGGGAAGAAGAAGAGTGGGCACAATCCTGTGCCATGCTCTCCAAGATGACCCTGCTGGAGGTTGAACCACTTGACCCACTGTGGTACCTCCCAGCCTGACCCTTTCTGGGATTCTGTGCAAAAACGACAGAAAATGTGAAATGTTTGAAGAGAATCTTTGGTGTTCAATCCTGAGGGTAACTCAGAGTTTCAGTGCCTGTTGTTGGTTGTGATGGACAGAGCCCTGTGAGCTCCAGGACTGCTCTGGAGATTTATGAGCTAAGTTAAATTGTTGTTAATGAGCAATTTTGTGTGGAGAATTGTCCTCGTGATACTTCCTAAATTGCCCCATTGTCCCTCTAATTAACCAGGACTTGAAAGGCCAAGCTCTGCCTCGGCAGCAGTTTTAACTTGACTTACAAGGGCTGGAAATCAGCGATTTTAAGTTAACAAAGACAAGCTAAAAAATTATTCATTGACCAGCAGCATCTTTCCTGTGTGTTTTAATATCTTTTTGCCACTGAGATACCCAATGAATTGTTCCTGTGCAGCAACAAATCGGGCAGGAAGAACAAAGTAGCTCAGTGGAATAGATAAATCAAATTTAGGCCTGGTAGTTTATTGAATCTAAATTGTGCCCAGTTGGCCCACGTGCTATATGAGCAATCCATCTTGTGCTGATAATGGAGGGTCTTGAAATCCACCTGATGTTTGCATTATTAAATTCCAGCCTAATGAGCTCTGCTAATACATATTGAAGACAGTTGTAAGGAGCAGAATGGGAATGGGAGCGGGATAATTTGAAAGAAACATAAGCTGAGCATTTTACATGACTCAAGGGGTATATCTACAATTACACATATCACCAAAATTGAATTTAAATGGAATTTCTATTATCCCTGTCCTTTTACCAAGGAGAATAAAGTGTAAATGAAGTAAAAGTCTTTAGAGTTACTCGTGGTTTGGTTTTATTATGGGATTTAATAGATTCTTGTAATGATCTTCAGTGGCAGAAAAAGTTTCAATATTTCACAGCTTTAAATGTTGTCTAAATATGTATAAAATTGTGGAGGTGGAAGCAGCTGTCAGTGCAGTGATTGGATAATTTGGTAACACCCTGGTCAGGTTGTGCATTTTAAGGTGGAGCTGGTGGCTCCAAAAAGGAGCGACCCCTTCACCCCTGAGCTGAGTTTGGTTTTCATAAATTATTGCTTAATTCAGGAGGTGCTGGGATTAAATATTTGCAAATCTGACTGAGCTCTTGCCATTCAGAGCACAGTTTGTAGTGATTTCCCTCCCTGGAAAGGCCTGGTGTAAATGCTGGATTTCTGGTCCTTTTTGGTTCTTTTCTTTCTGGCCTGGTGATACTTTTGAAAACTTAATATTTCATCAAGTATAATGTTATTAGAGACTTATTCTCACTTAGTTCACTCATCAGGCAGTGAGATGGCAATAAAAGAGAATGGCTCCTTTGAGACATTAATGCTTTGGAATAAATGATGTGCTAGAACAGAAATTTAATTAATTTACAGAGTATATTGATAGTCCCTTGTTACTGTGCTGTATATTTTTAATCTTCTTTAACATCTGTAGGAAAGTGTTTGAAAACCCCTGCAGTTGAGCAACTGGTAGATAATTAAGTAATAAGGGAAGAGGTTTCTAGAGGGAAAAAAATTCTTTTTAAAGAAGATTGTTGGAACATGGATTAAGTACTGCTGCTGTGATTTGGAGTGAAGAGAAAATTGTGTACTACCTAATAAAGTCCTGAGGAAGAGCTGACTCCCACTCTGAACAGTCTGCAGGCCTGGAAATATTGTTTTGTTTCTGTTTTACCCTCAAAATAGGTCTGATGGATTACTCAGTATGGCAGCAAATCTGCCACTGGATGGATGCACCACCTTTGGGTCGGTGCAGTTCTGTCTGGGGGCAGCTGGGCAGGGGAGATTGGGGTTTAGAGAAAGAAAACCTCTTAAAAGTCTCTTAAGGGCTTTACTGACCCCAAAATGAATGTGGGGATTTGTATTGAATTAATATTGCCTCTAATATTGACCTGATATTATCCTCCATAATATCATTTATGCCATTCCTTAACTGTGGAAATGACTTTAAATGAAATTAATGAAGAACCAAGTTCTGGTCTGTCGGTATGTGGATTTCATTGTGGGGCCTGCAGGAAGGAGCATGAAATTGGGATTAAAACCCAGGAAATATTGTTTGGCAAGAGATTGTTGACAGCCCATCCCTGGTAGTGCCCAAGGCCAGGTTGGACACTGGAGTTGGAGCAGCCTGGGGCAGTGGGAGGTGTCCCTGCCATGGATGGGATTTAAGGTCCTTCCAACCCAAACCATTCCATAATTCCATTATTTGACTGGATAAATTTAACTAATTCCAACTTGTTTTCTTCTTTTTAGCCAAAGCAGATGAAGCGTTGAAGGCCAAGGAGAGAAGTGAAGAAGAAGCCAAGAGAAGAAAGGAAGAAGGTGAGAAATTTTCTTTTATTTCATAACAAACTAAAGCCCAGGAAGTCAGAAATTATTATTTTTAAGCTCCAGTGGGGCTGTGAGATTTTCTTCCCTGGGCTGATGATGGAATCTGGTGCCCTGAGCTGCTTCTCTGCAGTCCAGCAGGTGGAATAATGAAACCACATGGATTGAAATGTCAGGGAGTGATGGAAGAGACATTTCCAACATCCTGAGGGAGCCAATCCAAACAACCCAGGAGCCTCAAATCCTCACTGGAGCTCTGTGGAACTGGGTGGGCTTTGAGGTCCCTTCAGCCCAAACCATTCTGGGGTTCCATGATTTACACCCAAGAGGGAACTCAGGAAAATTCAGTTTTTGAAATCACGGCTGCTGAGAATTTCACTCAAAATCAAAATGTTCTAATCTTTAGTTTGTTTTACCTGAGGACTGTTTTACTTGGGATGCTGAGAGGAATTAATTGGTGCTCCCAGTTAATCCTGCTTGGAGAAGGTTGTTGTGATACCCAAGGAGGAAATTCAAGTGGAAAAGTGGGATGGCCCTGACGAGGCAGGAGGGGAAAAATCCAAATCTGACTGGAAAAGGGACCAAACCAAGGAGCTGTGCCCCCTCCCCGTTGTGATTCCTGGATTTTGGAACCAATGGCCCAAGGGGAGCCTTTCCACCTGGAGGTGTCACCCAGGCAGACTCCCGTGGGCACAGGGATTTTGGGATGAGCTGGTTGGGTCCCACCAGCCCAAATCTGCGGGGAAAATACACTGTTTGGGGACATTTTTGTTTGGAAAAATGCACGTTTTTTTGTGCTCAGATCCCATTGTGAGTGGCAGATGTGCTGGCAATTGCTGTGCCAGCAGGGATTGGGAAGGGTGAGGCTGGAAAGGCAGAGGGAAGAAAAAAGGGGCAGTTCATGACTTGGGAACAATGGAATTTCCAGGGAAATGAGGAGGAAAACCTCTACAATTTATTAATAAGCCATGAAGGGTTTGAAGGGTTGTGAGGATGTCACAGTGTTGGAAAATTAAGATTTTTTCTGAGCAACTCAAATTCATCCATTTGCTGAGGAGTTGGCTCCCAGTTAGGAATGAAAGAGTTCGTTCTCCCTGGAAAATACAAAATCTTATTAAATTGTGTATGAGGTATTGGAGCATTCCAAGACATCCAGGGGAATTGCACGCTGGAAAACTCCAGGTTTTTGTTAAGTTTATGTCCTATATGGATTCAAAATTCCAGTTTTAGGTGGGTTTATATCCCATATGGATTTGCAAACAGGACATTTATCCAGTGCTTAGACTGTGTTCCCTTCCCTGTCCCGGGCTGCAGTGGCATCTTTTGCTTGGAAAAAGAGCATTCTTTATTTTTCCTTAGTTCTTCCTTCCTCACACAACACCTCTGGGTGGTTTTTAACCCTCTTTGATCCCTCAGGGGATCCCTGAGGTTGGAAAAAACTTTCCAGACCATTAATTCCAAACTGTGACTGATCCCACCAGAGCACCGAGTGCTACATAAAGTCATTGAAATAAAATAAGATAAAGCAAAATTATATTGAATTAAATCTTAAAAAAAAAATTCTAAATTACTATTTAAAAATAATTTTTATTTCTCTAATATCCCTTATTTTATTTCCCTAACTAGAACCCTCCAAAAGAAAATTCCGGCCCATGCAGGGAGCCTGTGACTCCTTTACTCAGGAGCTGCAATAAAAATAATTCCACAAATAAACCAATCCTTTCCCAACTCATAAAAACTGGTTATTGCCCACCCCATAGCGAGGGTGTCCTAACATTCCTTTTATTGTCATTTTATTGCCAAATCAGGTGTGAGATTAGACGTTGGATGTTCCGTGTAATCTGCTCAGAAATCAAATTATTTGACCTCCAAGCCCAGTGCTGCCCCTTCCCGCTGGTTTCCTGTTAAATATGCAGCATTTCCCCAGCATGAATAAAAAATTGAGGACAAATTAGAATCTACAGACAGCTGACCCCAGCTCCAGATTAGAGACTGGGGGCTCGTGCTGGTTTAAATGTTTTAATTACCATAGTCCCTCCAGCCCAGTGAAGGACACACAGCAAAATGCTGATTTTTTTTTTTTAAGTGACTAAAAAGCAAAGAAAAAAAGAAAAAGGCTCCCCCCGCCTCATTTGAATTTTTCGGTTTGATTACATTTGCACTTCCATTGGAGCTATGCTAATTTGCTGCATGAAATTAGGTCTATTAGCAAAACCTACTATTTTTCCAGGAGTATTTTCAGTGGTTGGGTTTTCCTAGTTTGGTTTTTGTTTACTTGCTTTGGGGCTGCCTGAAAAGTGAAAAAATCCAAAGGGGATTTTGCCACCCAACTGGGTTTTACTCCAGACAAATTCCAAATAGATGAAGTGGACAAGAGGAAAATCGGAAAAAAAATGCAAAGGAAAAATTGGGACATCTTGGATGATGTTAGGGAGAGGTTTTGGGCTTATTTCTCTTAATCTACCACGAATAATAAGATTTTTAAATATTGAGTTTAAAATACACCACGGCAGGGCCACGTGTGGGGAGGAGGAGCTGTGGATCCATCAGGAAACCAGGAAAAGAAGTTGTTCTGGAGCACAGTAGGATAGAAAATGTGGATTTTTGGCAATCAATCATTCCATAGGTGGATGGATGGGAGGGTGGTGCTGGATGGGGCGGGCATTATCCTGATGCCCTTATCCCAGGATTTCCCAGTCCCTTTATCCTGGAATTTGCATTTCCTGGTGCCTTTATCCCAGAGTTTGCATTTTCTGGTGCCTTTATCCCAGGATTTGCATTTCCCTTTGCCTTTATCCCAGGATTTGCATTTCCCTTTGCCTTTATCCCAGGATTTGCATTTCCTGGTGCCTTTATCCCAGAATTTGCATTTCCTGGTGCCTTTATCCCAGGATTTGCATTTCCTGGTGCCTTTATCCCAGGATTTGCATTTCCTGGTGCCTTTATCCCAGGATTTGCATTTCCTGGTGCCTTTATCCCAGGATTTGCATTTCCCTTTGCCTTTATCCCATGATTTGCATTTCCTGGTGCCTTTATCCCAGGATTTGCATTTCCCTTTGCCTTTATCCCAGGATTTGCATTTCCCAGTACCTTTATCCCGGGATTTGCGTTCCCGTGCCCGGCGCGTGCCAGCCCAGTGCTGAACTGTTCAGTTCTGCCTCCCCATCCCCGGTAAGCACTGCAGCATTTTGATAAACTCGGGGGAAATAAATTTGGCAGCAAATCAGCAGGAGTAGATTTAATTATCACTTCGAGACCTTTCCCTTTCCTGGCTTAGCGATCCCGAAACTCCGCGCCTTTCCCCGGAATCTGTTTCCCAATTTGTCCCTCCGTGCCGTGATAAGCCAAGCAATTACTGCTTTATTGATTTTTCATCAGGGCAAATTTAAAGTTGATTTTTTTTCCCTGCAAAGGCAGGGGTGATTAAGTGTTTCCCGTCGGTTTAGTCCCGGAGAGCTCCGTGGCAGAATCCAATATCCTGAGGTCAACCTCTGCAGGGAGATAATTCGGTGTCTCGGCCACGTGTGAGGGAGAGGAATCAGGGCTACAAATGTGAGGGGATATCTGTGGAGACAGTTTAATTTGTTCCATTTATATGAACAAGTCGTGTGGCACATGCTTGGAAAATATCATTTTGAATAGGTTTGGAAATGAGGCCCACGTGGGCAGGGGGAGGGAGGGAGGGATGCAAACGAGAGCGGGAATGTGGCTGGGAGACAGCTGGCCCTTGAACAGGGAATAAACCCATCCCTGAGGGTCATTCCCGGCTTTTACTGAGCTCTCTGTGCTGCTGGGGTGATTTTTCTTCACCAGAAGTTAAATCCTTCAAGTCTTTGGGTCCCTCCAACCCAAACCACTCCGTGGTGCTGTGATTCCATGATTTTGAGTGATTGGGGGGTCATGGAAGCAAAGTTAGAAAAACCTGGAGGACTCAACTTTTAGAAAATCCCTTAAGTATAAACTCTATAAACCCAAATGAAAAGTTTTGTTTTTTAATACTCATCTTTAACCTGCTGGCCAGGAGCTCTCACATGAAGAATCTCATCCAGAATATCCTGAGCTGGAAGAGACCCACAGGGATGGTGTGTCCAAGCCCTGGCCCTGCCCAGGACACCCCAACCCGCTGATTTCCCTTCCCACTTCCTTAGGAGAGAGTTAAAAGCCTTTCCCTGGGTGTAATGGATATTAAACCACGGGCTGGACGTGCCAGGAGAAGATTTGCTGGGGTGAGGTCAGTCTGTAATAAGTTAAAGTGCTTCACTCAAGCCTCAATTGGGATGCCCTGAAGTTCATCAGTTACTGCCTGAGCTCCTCGTTGATCTTCAGTAAATTTTCCTGAACTTCATTGTGGTGGCAAAGACCAAGCTCAATCTGTTTTACCCCCAAATTATTGAATACAGGTAATACATTTAGATGAAGAGATGGATTGTTTTTCCCTGGAATTTTCAATATTCCTGGTTTTTGCCTGGCTGATGGCAGGTTTGGAGCCCCGCCCTGGGTGTCCCTGGTGTGCCAGTGTCACTTCATTAGGCTGACACCAACACCTGGTGCTGTGCTGATGCTCCCAGGAGGCTGCTCCAGCATCTGGCACACACTCTGATCTTCTTTTATCTCTGTTTAATCTTCACGTTGCTGGGTTGGAATTGAAAGGGGGCAGGAACAAATCAAGGGGAAAATAAAAAATGCCAGGTTTTGGTGCAGCGGCAGAGTGGGGCTTGTTAGGAAGAGCAGCCACGTGAGGATAATGAGAGATGGGAAGGGAAAGGGGAATTTGGGGTCTTGGCCACTCTGTGTGTCCAGAGCTGAGGGAAAGGGAATTGGAACGGGAATCAATGGCCCCCAATGGATAATGGCTGCTGGAGGAATCAATTCCTGCCTTTTTATTAAAGCTGCTGTAATTAATGATCACTTCTGAATGTCTTCCTTAAATTTTGCCCTTCTTGGTGCCTGCCCATCCTCTCCTGCCCTTTGTATTCCAGAGTTCCCTCTTTTGC